ATCCACTATCAGCTGTTACTACGAATCACTAATTACCAAACTTACTTGTAGGCCGCCGTCTCTTGTAGCGTGTAGTCAGAATTTGGCGCGCTTCTACTTTTCTGAAACAGGGGTAAATGTACACACTATAATAAGTGACATGTCACAGGATTCGAACAAACGTCGCGAGTACGATTGCTGGCTCAGGGAGCAACAATATCGGAAAGAAAAAGGAACTGTTGCGGAGCGAATAGAGATCGGTTTCGAAGAATCAGACCCGATTTTTGAGTCTTGCCGTTGTGGTGATTACTATAACATTACTTCTGAAGAGGTGCGTAAAAATGAGTTCTGTTTCGAGCATCTCATGTATCTTTGATCTATGGTCTATTTTAGGTCCAGAAAATCGTTGACGTTGGCATTTTCGAGTGCGCCTCGTGCTCTCTTTGCCTTGAAGTTTCAAGGACAGCCCTTAATAGCACGTAAAGATTGAGCTACAGCGTTCTATACAAAATATTTGGATTTTCTTTTGCTGGTGAGCGATAGGCTTTAATTGATTATGTTTCTGATTCTCTACATAAAATACTATTGAAAGCGTATTGCAGATTTGTCAGATGTTATCTACGAAAATCGTTGTGGTGGGAGAGAGCGGTGTAGGTAAAACATCTTTTCGTCAACGCCTTGTGTGGCAAGTACGTCGGAATTTATTCTTTTTCTTTAGTTATGACTGTGATATTCATTCAATACCTGCTTCAGTTTTGTGTTTGCTTGACAGCATAACAGATTTTCTGTCCGGTGTAAGAGGTGCTCATCAAATTTCAAGTCAGTCGTTATGGAACGCTTTTGCAATACGGTTCTCGTAATGTTGCTTGATCACTATCACACGATCGTATGAGAACACAAAACTTAGGCTCATATCTGCTAATCGCCTTTTGTCCTCTGGGTTTTCTGTTTTGCGCATGAAATAATCATATGCAAGAAATGTTCTGAAAGAGCGCAGGTCTCAATGAGAAGGTGGTCGTTCACGAAGTCGCGGTTACTTGAAAAGGGGTTTTGCATGTTGTAGGGGCAAATACAGAACACAATCCGGGTTTCGTTTTCTCTGGACGATTTTACAAATGCCAAAAAATAGCGAAAATGATTTTCTGGAACTGAAGCTTCATACCTCATAGATCATTCTAAGCGTTTGATAATTGTACCTTGAAAGGTAATCGTGAATGAGGTAAGCAAACCAGCCCTTTTGGCGTTTCGGCTGGGACCGTATGCTGAATGTTGGGGAGGGGATGGGGTCCCCAACGGTCGACGGTTTACTTCAACTCGGTTGGTACGATAGGAGAGTACTGACGCAAGTGGTGCAGCTGGTCCAGCAGCTCCGCCAGAAGGGCTGGTTTGCTCACCCCAGGACTAAGCCTTGGAGAGGGGACGGACCCGTCCTCTCTTTAAGGCTTAGTTCTGAGGTAAGCACCAAATTGTGGCGGTTCTAAGGACCGAGTTGAAGTGGTCCGTCCACCGTCGGGGACTCCATCCCCTCCCCAACATTCAGCATACGGTCCCAGCCGAAGCGCCAAAAGGGCTGGTTTGCTTACGTCATCGTGAATCGCCCACCGAAACATGCGAAGATGGATCAAAGTTAAAGTGTATGGTAAAGTTATTGTTGAAGAAGGTGTTGGAGATTCATAAGCGATGATGGCAACAAGGCACTGCAGCGAATGATACCCATTGATATTGTGGAGTAGAGGTCTGCGGTTGGAGTCTCGCGTGCGCTTCTTGCAGGCTGCACCTCATGACGAGCACCAATTCACGAGGATCTTTGTCGCTGGGAAAGAAAGCAACTTTACTGCTCGTCGCGAGCGGAACGCTCTCGGTGCGGAAACCCTAAGTCTACTTGTGAAAAGAAGTGGGCGTGGGGTGAGATGAAAGTGTCAAGGATTTGAAAAGACACGTCGAGGATTTTCGCCTCTTCAGTGACGCTCTCCCGCGCGGACATTCACTCTAGCCACGTCGTCTGTGTTTTTGAGTGGGGTGTGGAACAGAAAGCGGCTTTTTCGCGTTTTGCAGCGCGAAATATTTTCCGCTCCGGAAACCTCAGGTCCACCGCTGATCATCAGTGGACCTGAGGTTCCCACAGCGAATCATAAGTGGACCCGTGATTCCCGCAAGGAGCAATGTTTCGCGTTGCGAAACGCGAAAAAGTCGCTCCCTGTCCTTTCCGCTGAACCGTCCCTTCTGAGTTAACATTCACCTCTCCGAATCTATCGCTCCTACACAGTACAATAGCCTTGTCGAGTTTTTCCGCGAACCGTTATTCACACCTGGCCGGGGTTCTTCTTGTCTCGCGGCGAGGCAAATTTTTCGTGTTCGAAATCCGAAGAAGGTACGCTATCTGTTCTCCTAGCAAACCAACCCCATCCTGGCGCGTTTCCATAAACTAAAATACGCATATTTGTAAATCACTGCCATTGAAACTTCGACGACATTGCTCGTTTTGGCTATTTTGGGCGTGGCATTGGCGCAATTCTGCGAGCGTGGCCGTCTGACCCACACTTACATGTAACAGAAAACCTGGATGATACGAATTGTTTTAGTAGCGTCGTAGAAGTTATCCAGGGTATGGCCATTTAATTTCAAACAACGGGCTGCCAGACAATATTCAAGCTCCCTCTGGTAGTGTAATCAAGCGAACAAAAATAAAACGAATTTACCAGACTACGCTGCACGTGCACAAAGTAAACATTCTGCTGCTTTTATCTTTCCCCAAACCGAACATCATATTACGAATCCATCAAGATTGTGTTTACTCACAGTATTTTTGTCGGGTCCGGTCTTGCTTGTCTGTCGTGTCTAGGGGTGTCAAACAGCTTGTACCTGGAAACTTTATTGACTACGAGCTAACCGCTCGACAGATCGCAACAGAGTAGAAAGAACAAAGGGGCGGGGCCTAAAGCCTTATATAGTGGTGCCCACGTAGATATCATAAGATTCACAAGGATTTTCGAAAAAAGGGGAGATTAAGTACATCGATAGTGGGTTACGAAATGAGATACGGTATTATAGAGATCGGCTAGGCAAAGGCTAAGTGAACATAGATAAGTAGATACATAGATAAAGGACAAATAATATAGTATAGACGAAGTTCCAAATACAATGTATTCACATATCTAGCAGCCCCTTCCTGGCAAACAATTAGAGCTCGTCCGACTGCTATTTCTCTGCGAATCAAGGCTACGACGAGGGGAGTGTCTGCGACGCGGGGAATCAACACGCTGGTACGACGATCGACGGGTAGAGCTTGGTCCTTGTTCGCGGTCGTGTCTTCGCGATTCGTGTAGGTGTTGAGATTTGCGATGACTCCTCTCAGGTGGCGAGTAGTGTCCTCGACGTAACGTGGGCCTGTCATTCCGATGTCTGCGAATGTGCAAGCGACCGGTGTGCGAACAGTAATTATCGGGATCCTCGACGACGAAGAAGTTCGGCATCCTTTCCTCTTGTCGACGTCGACGCTTGAGGAGCCTCTCCTGGTGTCGACGGTCCCTGAGCTTTCGGGTGAGGCCATCTCAAATTCATCCATCTTGATCAGATCATTGACGGTGAGGCGGAGCTTATCCAAGAACAGCCTTATCTGATAGCCACCGAATTGGCCCTGAGCGCGACGCGGATGTGTTCCCATACATCCAGCAGGGTGTGTATATGGCGCCGCTTCCAGGACGTCGCTGTAGTGATCCCTCACACTGCTTCAGACGAGCCGTTGAGGGTTTGCCCCTTAAACCACTAATTCTGCGAAACATACCACAACCCGAAGCCCATATAGTCCATCGCCGTTTCGTTGTCGTCCTCATACGGGCTCGGGAAAAACGCAAGTGAGCCTGCCGACTGCAGGTGGCGCTCAAGTGCGATCAAAACTTGGCGCATTTCTCTGCTCTCTGGCGTAGTGTCCGGCCATACCACGATGATGGATGTAACAATAGGCATGGAGATCAGCTTCTCGGCAAGGGCACTCCAATTTGCATAGACGTATGGTGTGATGTTATCTGCGTAGTCGACATCGACGCCCACACGACCAAAAGCTGAAGGCAGCGCGATGAAAATCTCCAGTTTAGCGGCCGTTGTTGCGCCAGGAATGCGCAGTTTTCCCTGCAGAGCGATTGCGGTGGTAAGGTGTGCTCCCAAATCGTACGGCACTGGCCAGGAGAATACCGCAGGATGATCGAACTTTTTTCCTTTGGCGTTCTCCACGGCTTCCGCGTACACCTGACAACGTCGTCGATGAGCATCAACTGCTAGGGCCAGTCCATAGGGTGTGACGAAGCACGAGCTCTTCTTGCGGAGCTCCTCTTCCTTTCGCTCTTCACCCCAACATGCCTGCTCCGCGATCGACGCAACATTCGCGAGCTGAAACATGTCTTGGACCTTCTTGGCTCTAGCTATTGGGTGCGTCAATTTCCATGGGTAGGATTCGGCTACGTGGCCCCCAGCCCTGACCATTGAACCACAACCTCGCACTGAACAAATCCTGTAGCGTAGCCTTGCAAGCACATTGTCGACGCCGAGCAGAGTCCTGGAAATACAAATAAGATTAAACGTTATCGGCAATTGTAATGGTGAGACATTTTTACGTGGTCGGCCCCTTTTCCCCGGCCTTTCCGCGTTTTAATCGGGTCGTCCGGAGATTCCCGCCGGAAGTTTCCTCAGCATATCAAAGGGCACTCTCACCGGTTCCTTGTTTTGGCCGATTAACGTTACCAGGGCCGCACTGTTATCGGCTCGTCGGCTACTCACTCCCTAAATATGACCTTGACCCAAGGATTCGTTAGCTTGGGGTTTGTGACTGACGTTTCGCTGGGAATTTTTAGGTACACCCGATCACCAATGTTCAGCGGTGCCTCGCGCACTTTCTTCTCCCTATCATAGTACAACTTCATTCTTTTTCGCATCTTGTCGTTTATCTCGACTGCGTAATCCCGTGCTATCTGCGTTCCTACAGCCACCTCTTGCACGTAGCTGTCCATGTCCACACCATAGTAGGCTTGCGTAGCGTTTGAGGCCAGGACTTAAAGATTCCATGAAGCAACTAATGCGTAGAAACCTATGCGTAAAAAAGAATGGTTATTCTCCTTGTTGACTCCATGAGCGTAGGTGTTGTATGCGCGACCAAATCGCAACTAAGGCACCCTATTTTGTCCCATTCAGTTGGAACTTGCACCTTTTTCCGCAACATTTTGATGATGGTCTGGTTAAACCTCTCCGTTAATCCATTTTCACGGGGGTTGTACCCTTTTGTGAACACATGTTCTACTCCAGGATTTTCTTCAGTTCTTCCATCAGCTTATTGTCGAACTCTCCTCCCTGATCGGAGAGTATACGTTTTGGCTGGCGGCATCCTTCTGCGATCCACTTTCCGAAAAAAGCTTTTGCCACAGTTTCTGCCGCTTTATTGGTATCGCGTACGCACCTCCATATTTCGAGAAGTGGTCAACTATGGTGAGTATGTACCGGTTGCCACTGCTAGTCGGTCCCATTTCGAGTATGTCAATTCCCACCACTTCATAGGGCTTCGACGTACAAATGGGTTTGAGCGGTGGAGTAATAGTCGGTTGAGCGTTGTGACACAAACACTCGCGGCACTCTTCTGACCATTTGGCCACATCTCGGCTCAACGTCTCCCAGAACACCCTTTTGGACAGCTGCCGTATTAGCTTTCTCGGCCCAAAATGTCCAGCTAGTAGGCCAGCATGCGCCTCGTCAAAAACCTTTTTCCGCTGAGATGGAGGGACAACCATTCGGCGCTGCTCGTTCTCCATTAGAACGAGATTCCCATGGTCCATCGCGAAATCGGCGACTTTGTAATTACGGGCACCTCCAGGGAATTTCACGTCATTATCCAACCTTCCTTTTTCCAAGTCAGCTATGACTTTCCCGTATACGGAGTGCTCTCGCAACTCTGCTGTCCATTCTGGTTCTTTCTGAACCGCTCCCACAATAAGCTCATTCGGCATGGGCTCTTCGATGGAGAGATCTTTCAGGGGTATTGCTCCGCGACTTAAGGCGTCTGCTACCTTGTTTGCGGCCCCTTTCAAGTAGATCATCTTCACATCGTACTTTTGTAGCTCTAAAGCCCAGCGAAGAATTCTGGCTGACACATTGCTCCTCTTGAATAGAGCTGTCAATGCCTGGTGGTCAGTAAATACTTCGATGCGGAGGCCATACACGAACATGTGGAATTTTCGCAGCGCAAAAACTACTGCAAGCGCTTCAAGATCTGTAACATGGTAATTTTTCTCGCACTTAGACAGACCTTTAGACGCAAAGAATATGGGGTGGAGAAATCCATCTTCTCCCTCCTGACTCAATACCGCTCCTAAGCCTTCTGTGCTAGCGTCGGTATGGATTTTGAATGGTTTCCTCCCGCTCCTTGCAGCTTCTATGTCTGGCTGTGCGAGTACGGGAGCTTCCGTTATAATCGTTTTCAACTTCTCGAATGATTCCTTCGCAGAAGGCGTCCAGACAAAAGCCTTCTTTTCCGAAGTCATCTCATGCACGGTGCTGCAACCTTCGAGAATCCTAGCACAAATTTACGATAGTAGGAGCACATGCCTAGGAATGAGCGAAGATCTGCACGCGTCCGTGGAATTGGGTACTTCTTGATAGCCTCCACTTTTGCTGGATCCATGTGCAATCCTTCGCCGTCAATGACATGTCCGAGAAACTCCACTTTCCGTTCAGCTATAACACACTTCCTCGGATTCAGTCTTAGTCCTGCTTTCCTCAGGGCTTTGAACACTTCCTCCATTACTTTTAGGTGTCGCTCAACAGAGTCTGTTGCTACCATTATGTCATCTAGGTAGCAAAACACCTCATCGCCTAGTAACGGTCCGAGAACTATGTGCATAAGCCGCTGGAATACCGCTGGAGATGATGCCAGTCCAAATGGCAACACTCGAAATTGGTAGAGTCCTTCGGTTGTGGTAAACGCGGACTTCTCCTTAGCATCTTGCGAGAGGCTAATCTGCCAGTACCCTGACGAAAGATCAAGGGTGGAGAACCTTGTTTTGCCTTTTAAACTCTGCAAGATTGTATCAATGGTTGGAAGCGGGTAACTGTCCGTCTTCGTTACCTGGTTCACCTTCCGGTAGTCCACGCACAACCTTAACGTGCCGTCTTTTTTCTGGACCAATACAATAGGAGATGCCCAACTTGAACTGCTGGGTTCAATCACTTTTCTCCCCTGTAGGTCGCTTAGTATTTGACGGAGTTCTACTCGGGTAGATAGCGGTATCGGACGTGCTT